GTCATTGTTGGAATGCTGTGGGGTGGCAGAATCCAGCTGGACCTTGAGATACAGATAAAAATTTTGTTTTTTTTTTTTACTACTGAGCTAGCTAGAGGTAAATCGTGGGATTTCCAGAAGTTAAGGTTAGGTCTCACAACAGTATATTGGGGTAAAGTGGAAGAGCAGACCAATTAGTCTGAACGTTATGCCTTATTTTTCATTTTTGTGTTGTTACTTTTGTATATAATATGTGAATAAAGGTCATTATTATTATCATAATTAGATTTCTGCTAATGCTGGTCCCCGATGGCCCTTCTCTACGATTCCTTCAAGGTCGCCATCCAATTTCCATCCTCTTCAATTCTGCTTACATTACTTTTCTGATCAGTCCATATGATGCTTTTCATTCTTCTCCATATCCTCATTTCAAAACCTTCCTGATTTCTTTGCAGGTCGATAAAGTTGACACCCCCACTTTGCTTAAATGAAGTAAAAATATGCCTATAATTTAGGACTAATTAAAGACCAATTTGTACCCGCTTAGTTCTGCCGGAAAACCGATTTTTAAAGTGGGAGTGCTAACTTGAAATCAAATTAGCACCCCCACTTTTCTCGATTGAAATTTTATAATTGCATTAAAAATTATGAATTAAAGACTAATTTGTACCCAAAAAATTAGAATTTGTATCCGCTTGGTTCCGCCAGAAAACCGATTCTGGTGGGGGTGCTAACTAGAAGTCAAGAAGTTAGCACTCCACTTTGTCCGATTGAAATTTTATTAAACAATTTTTTTCTAAGGACAATTCTCAGAATGAGTAAAAAGAGATGCAACGTATAAATTAAGGACACAAACATTTTTTCGTAAACAAATTATATTGTTAGGAAGTCGTCTGAATCAAGTTGGGAGGGAATATCGGGGTCCAAAGAATGCACTCTGCTAAACTTTACAATTTCGTATTGCTGTCTGCCAATCTGTCCGTTTGTTTGTCCATGTGCACAATACTGTTGAGAAACGCCTGATCGCTTTGAAAATTATTAAACGAATATAAGAAAGGTTGCTATTGTTTTTCAGCGACGTAGACTATTGGCCGCCCGAATATGAATAGTTTTTTTTACACTCCTTCGTTCTAAATCGCGTTTTCCCAATAAAACACGAAAGTCGGGAACGTCAATTTTACAATTGAC